CTGTCCCCCCCCACACGGCTCGTCTGCGGGGACAGACGTGGGGGTGTCACCCATGGGGTGTGTGTGCTGCCGGCACCCACAGCACCCGGCGCTTCCTGCTGTCCCCTGGCATGTGGTGGCAGCATCCTCATGCCATCCCATCCCATCCCCATCCCATCTCCATTTCCATACCATCACCATCACATCTCATCACCATTCCAACTCCATCCCCATCCCATCCCCATCCCAATCCCCATCTCATCCCCATCCCATCTGATCTCAATCCCCATCCCCATCCCATCTCCTTCCCATCCCATCCCCATCACATCCCAATCCCCATCTCATCCCCATCCAAGCCCCTTCCCATCCTATCTCCATTCCCATCCCATCACCATCACATCCCATTGCCATTCCAACTCCACCTCCATCCCATCCCATCCCCATCCCAACCCCCATTTCACCCCCATCCCATCTGATCTCCATCCCCATCCCATCCCTTTCCCATCCCATCTCCTCCCCATCCCCATCCCACCTCTCCCCTCACCGCAGAAGCTCTGGTTCCTCCAGGAGAGCTGGGCTCCCTCGCGGGCGCACTCCCGAGCGTAGGCAGCGAGCGCGGGGCACAGGCAGCGCTGCCCGCCCCGGCAGGAGCAGGCGTCGTGCAGGCAGAGCTGCAGGAAGGGCTCCGGCTCCACCGCCCGGTGGCACGGCTGGGGGCAGGAGGGACATGTTGGGAGGTGGCACTGGCGTTTGCTTGGCAAGTCTGATGGGCACCGGGGTCTGGGCTCTGGGCACTACGCACTGGTCACCAGGCACCGGCCACCAGGAACTGGTCATTGGGCACCAGGAACCAATCACTGGTCACTGGCCACCAGGCACTGGTCACTGGGCACTGGTTACTGGCCACTGGTCACTGGGCACCAGCCACTGGTCATTGGGCACCAGGCACTGGTCACTGGGCACCAGGCAATGGGCACTGGGCACCAGGAACCAAGCACTGGTCACTGGCCACCGGGCACCAGGCACTGTTCGCTGGGCACCATGCCCCAGTCAATGGACAACCAGGTGTTGCAGTCCCGGACGATGGTGTCATTGGGCCGGTAGAGCCGCCCACCGTGGTGGCAAGGACACTCCTCTGGGGACACACAGTGCCCATCCTGCCGGCACAAGACCCCCCTGGAATGAGCAGGGGCTGGGGGGCAATGGGGGCTGCCGGCCCTCTTGGGGCATGGGGGGCTCTGGGCAGGCACCAGCAGGGGGGCTGGGACCCCCCCGGGACCCTCACCAGTCCCCCACACGCACCTCTGTGATGCCACATGTCCCCTGCGCCCCCAGTTCCTGGTCCCCAGCCTCCCAGGTCCCCTCAGCCCCCAATCCCCAGCTGCCCCAGCTCTCCAGCCCCCCATGCCCAGCCACTGACCCCCCAAGAGCCCCCCCGGGGAGGGGGTGACCCACCAGGAAGAGGGTGCCAGGGGGGCAGACGCAGCCATCGGCGATGCCGGTGCAGGTGCCGTTGGGCTCGGCGCTGTCACAGCGGCGCAGGCAGGACCCCGGGGCATGAACCAGCCCCCCAGGGCAGAGGGCAGCCACGGGGCAGGGGGCTTCGGAGCAGCGCCAGGAACCACCAGCACAGACACTGTGGGGAGGGGGGCGGTGAGGGCAGCCCCCCACCACCCCCTGGCATGGGGAGTCCCTCACCCAGCCGGCCCCATGCTGGGGTCCCCGCATTCCAAGTGCTAATCTCATGCAAACCAAATCCTTAACCCCATCCTCATCCTCATCCCACCCCATCCCATCCCCATATCCCTATCCCCATATCTCCATCCCCATATCCCCATCCCATCCCCATATCCCCATCCCATCCCCATCTCCATCTCCATGCCATCTCCATCTCCATCTCCATCTCCATCTCCATCTCCATCTCCATCTCCATCCCATCTCCATCTCCATCCCCATCTCCATCCCCATCCCCACTCCATCTCCATTCCCATCCCATCTCCATCCCCACCCCATGATGTGCTCTCCATGGGTGTCACCGTCGCCCCGTGGCAGGGACATTCAATGAAAGCCACCTATCCCGCGGTGCCATCCCAAACGGGCCGTAGGGGGATTTCATCAGATGCCTCCCGCCATCGCCGTGTCCCGTGACACTGGACCAGTCCCCTTGGCTCTTCCTGGCCCCTGCCACCCCCCCGTGTCCCCTGCCCTGTCCCTGCCACCCGCCGTGTCCCCTGCCCTGTCCCTGTCACCCCCGTCTCCTCGCCCACCGCATGGCCCACGCACCAGGGGTTGCAGCCCCGTCGGATGTGGCCGCCGGGAGGGTAGAGCCGGGTGCCGTGGCGGCAGGGGCAGGCGGCCGGTGGGACACATTGGCCACCGTCATCCAGCACCAGCCCCGGGGGGCAGTTGCAGCCGGGGACACAGAGCCCGGCCAGGTCGGGGCAGGAGCCGGCCCCGTCCAGGCGCAGGTCGGCGCAGGTCCGGCCGCAGGGAGGGACACACTCCTGGTACAGCTGTCCCCCCCCACACGGCTCGTCTGCGGGGACAGACGTGGGGGTGTCACCCATGGGGTGTGTGTGCTGCCGGCACCCACAGCACCCGGCGCTTCCTGCTGTCCCCTGGCATGTGGTGGCAGCATCCTCATGCCATCCCATCCCATCCCCATCCCATCTCCATTTCCATACCATCACCATCACATCTCATCACCATTCCAACTCCATCCCCATCCCATCCCCATCCCAATCCCCATCTCATCCCCATCCCATCTGATCTCAATCCCCATCCCCATCCCATCTCCTTCCCATCCCATCCCCATCACATCCCAATCCCCATCTCATCCCCATCCAAGCCCCTTCCCATCCTATCTCCATTCCCATCCCATCACCATCACATCCCATTGCCATTCCAACTCCACCTCCATCCCATCCCATCCCCATCCCAACCCCCATTTCACCCCCATCCCATCTGATCTCCATCCCCATCCCATCCCTTTCCCATCCCATCTCCTCCCCATCCCCATCCCACCTCTCCCCTCACCGCAGAAGCTCTGGTTCCTCCAGGAGAGCTGGGCTCCCTCGCGGGCGCACTCCCGAGCGTAGGCAGCGAGCGCGGGGCACAGGCAGCGCTGCCCGCCCCGGCAGGAGCAGGCGTCGTGCAGGCAGAGCTGCAGGAAGGGCTCCGGCTCCACCGCCCGGTGGCACGGCTGGGGGCAGGAGGGACATGTTGGGAGGTGGCACTGGCGTTTGCTTGGCAAGTCTGATGGGCACCGGGGTCTGGGCTCTGGGCACTACGCACTGGTCACCAGGCACCGGCCACCAGGAACTGGTCATTGGGCACCAGGAACCAATCACTGGTCACTGGCCACCAGGCACTGGTCACTGGGCACTGGTTACTGGCCACTGGTCACTGGGCACCAGCCACTGGTCATTGGGCACCAGGCACTGGTCACTGGGCACCAGGCAATGGGCACTGGGCACCAGGAACCAAGCACTGGTCACTGGCCACCGGGCACCAGGCACTGTTCGCTGGGCACCATGCCCCAGTCAATGGACATTGGGCACCAGCTTCTGGTCACTGGGCACCAGGCACTGGGCTCTGGCCACCAGGTAATGGTCACCAGGCACTGACCACCAGGTGCTGGCCACTAGGCTCTGAGCACTGGCTACCAGGCACTAGGCACCAGGCACTGGTCACCAGGCACTGGCCACTGGTCACCAGGCTCTGGGCACTGGTCCAGTAATGGGCACTAGGCACTGGTCACCAGCCACCAGGCACTGGTCATCAGGCACAAGGAACCAGGCATCGGGCACTGGGCAGCAGGAACCAGGCACAGTCACCAGCCACTGGTCACCAAGCTCTGGTCACTGGTCACCAGGCACCAGGCACTGGGCTGGTACTGGGAACTAGCCACTGGTCACCAGGTACCAGGCACTGGTGACCAAGCACTGGTCACAGGCCACTGGTCACCAGGCACTGGTCACCCATCTCCATCTCCATCTCCATCTCCATCTCCATCTCCATCTCCATCTCCATCCCATCTCCATCTCCATCCCCATCTCCATCCCCATCCCCACTCCATCTCCATTCCCATCCCATCTCCATCCCCACCCCATGATGTGCTCTCCATGGGTGTCACCGTCGCCCCGTGGCAGGGACATTCAATGAAAGCCACCTATCCCGCGGTGCCATCCCAAACGGGCCGTAGGGGGATTTCATCAGACGTCTCCCGCCATCGCCGTGTCCCGTGACACTGGACCAGTCCCCTTGGCTCTTCCTGGCCCCTGCCACCCCCCCGTGTCCCCTGCCCTGTCCCTGCCACCCCCCGTGTCCCCTGCCCTGTCCCTGCCACCCCCGTCTCCTCGCCCACCGCATGGGCCACGCACCAGGGGTTGCAGCCCCGTCGGATGTGGCCGCTGGGAGGGTAGAGCCGGGTGCCGTGGCGGCAGGGGCAGGCGGCCGGTGGGACACATTGGCCACCGTCATCCAGCACCAGCCCCGGGGGGCAGTTGCAGCCGGGGACACAGAGCCCGGCCAGGTCGGGGCAGGAGCCGGCCCCGTCCAGGCGCAGGTCGGCGCAGGTCCGGCCGCAGGGAGGGACACACTCCTGGTACAGCTGTCCCCCCCCACACGGCTCGTCTGCGGGGACAGACGTGGGGGTGTCACCCATGGGGTGTGTGTGCTGCCGGCACCCACAGCACCCGGCGCTTCCTGCTGTCCCCTGGCATGTGGTGGCAGCATCCTCATGCCATCCCATCCCATCCCCATCCCATCTCCATTTCCATACCATCACCATCACATCTCATCACCATTCCAACTCCATCCCCATCCCATCCCCATCCCAATCCCCATCTCATCCCCATCCCATCTGATCTCAATCCCCATCCCCATCCCATCTGGCAACGGGGGTCTCCAGCCCCCAAAGGAGGTGAGCCCCAAAGGTCTGGAGCAGGAGGAAGGAGGAGGATGCCCGGCGAACACTCAGCTCGGCGCTGGCAAAGGGCAGTGTCACCTCCCGCCCGTCCACTGTCACCTCGCCTGCGCCGGGAGAGAGGGGACATCAGGGCACAGCCACCAGGCTGTCACTGGCCACCATGGGCTGGCACTGGCCACCATGGGGACATCAGGGCACGGCCACCAGGCTGTCACCGGCCACCAGGGGCTGTCACTGGCCACCACGGGGACATCAGGGCATGGCCACCAGGCCGGTACTGGTGACTATGGGGATGTCAGGGCACAGCCATGGGGTTGGCACCCACCACCCCACCAGGGCTCAGGGACGGTCCCCAGGGATCACCTGTGCCGCGGAGGCGAGCAGAGGTCCGGCGGGTGGTGATGGAGAGGGACCGGAGACATCTGAGGGGCTGGTGGCCATCGCAAGGCTCATGCTCAGCCGTGATCAGCAGCTGCCCCTCCACGAAGTCCTGGGGGGCAGAGACCCTGCTGAGCCCCCCCAGGGCAGGTCCCCATTGCCCTGGCCACCGCCGTGGCCACCACGATTGCCACCCTCACCTGGACCAGGATGTAGGCACAGGCGCCCAGGAAGGAGAAGCGCCGGCGGTCGAAGGTGACGTAGTGGTGGCCCCCCAGCACCGTGCACTCCCCCGGGCACCGGTCCTGGCTACAGAGCCAGCGCCCACCCTGGCACGTGCTGCAGGCACAGGAGGGGACACCGGGATCACCGGAGTGGGGACACCATGGCCACTGTGTCTCTGACCACACCAGGCATGGGTACAGAGGACATGGTGGCCACCATGCTTCCCACCACACTGGCCACGGATGCAGAGGACACAGTGGCCACCATGCCTCCAACCACACCAGGCATGGGTACAGAGGACACAGTGGCCACTGTGCTTCCCACCACACTGGCCATGGATGCAGAGGACACTGTGGCCACCATGCCTCCAACCACATCAGTGTGGGTACAGAGGACATGGTGGCCACCATGCCTCCCACCACACTGGCCACGGATGCAGAGGACACCGTGGCCACCATGCCTCCCACCACACTGGCCACGGATGCAGAGGACACCGTGGCCACCATGCCTCCAACCACACCCCTTCCCATCCCATCCCCATCACATCCCAATCCCCATCTCATCCCCATCCAAGCCCCTTCCCATCCTATCTCCATTCCCATCCCATCACCATCACATCCCATTGCCATTCCAACTCCACCTCCATCCCATCCCATCCCCATCCCAACCCCCATTTCACCCCCATCCCATCTGATCTCCATCCCCATCCCATCCCTTTCCCATCCCATCTCCTCCCCATCCCCATCCCACCTCTCCCCTCACCGCAGAAGCTCTGGTTCCTCCAGGAGAGCTGGGCTCCCTCGCGGGCGCACTCCCGGGCGTAGGCAGCGAGCGCAGGGCACAGGCAGCGCTGCCCGCCCCGGCAGGAGCAGGCGTCGTGCAGGCAGAGCTGCAGGAAGGGCTCCGGCTCCACCGCCCGGTGGCACGGCTGGGGGCAGGAGGGACACGTCGGGAGGTGGCACTGGCGTTTGCTTGGCAAGTCTGATGGGCACCGGGGGCTGGGCTCTGGGCACTACGCACTGGGCACCAGGCACCGGCCACCAGGCACTGGGCACTGGGCACCAGCCACTGGTCATTGGGCACCAGGCAATGGGCACCAGACACTGTTTGCTGGGCACCATGCCCCAGTCAATGGATATTGGGCACCAGCTTCTGGTCACTGGGCACCAGGCACTGGGCTCTGGCCACCAGGTAATGGTCACCAGGCACTGGCCACCAGGCACTGGCCACTGGCCACCAAGAACCAGGTATTGGTCACTGGGCACGGGACACTGGTCACCAGGCTCTGGGCACTGGGCCAGTAATGGGCACTAGGCACTGGTCACCAGCCAGCAGGCACTGGTCATTAGGCACAAGGAACCAGGCATCAGGCACTGGGCAGCAGGAACCAGGCACGGTCACCAGCCACTGGTCACCAAGCTCTGGTCACTGGTCACCAGGCACCAGGCACTGGGCTGGTACTGGGAACTAGCCACTGGTCACCAGGTACCAGGCACCGGTGACCAAGCACTGGTCACAGGCCACTAGTCACCAGGCACTGGTCACACCGGTGCCCAGCCGGGGCAGGGGGCTACTGGTCACCTGGAAGGCTGGTCCGTGCAGGATGGCGCAGGCGGCCTCGGCCACCTCCCGCCGCCCGGCGAAGGCGTCGCAGGGCTGGAGGGGGACGGGGCCGAGCACGGGGCAGTCGCCCGATGCCCGGTACTGGTTGGCGAAGGCGGTGACGCCGGTCTCCACATCACCCGCCGGCGTGGTGAACTCATCCTGCTGGTCCCAGTTGTAGGTCCCACAGAGACCCCGCACCTGCAGCACCATCAACGGGATCGGGATGGGACCCCCCACGGCACCGGGACACCTGGATCCCCACTGGAACCCAGGCTGGATCTGCCACCAGCACCACCGCCGTGGCACGGCACAGCCGGGGCTCACCTTGTGGGCAAAGGTGGGCTGGAGGGTGATGTAGGCAACGGGGGTCTCCAGCCCCCAAAGGAGGTGAGCCCCAAAGGTCTGGAGCAGGAGGAAGGAGGAGGACGCCCGGCGAACACTCAGCTCGGCGCTGGCAAAGGGCAGTGTCACCTCCCGCCCGTCCACTGTCACCTCGCCTGCGCCGGGAGAGAGGGGACATCAGGGCACAGCCACCAGGCTGTCACTGGCCACCATGGGCTGGCACTGGCCACCATGGGGACATCAGGGCACGGCCACCAGGCTGGCACCGGCCACCATGGGCTGTCACTGGCCACCATGGGGACATCA